AAGAAACAAAATGAAAAAATTACATTGTTATACTGTCTTTTCTCCAATCCAATCACAGAGCCCCTCTCCTCCTCCTCCTCCTCCTCAAATCCACCACCACTCCTCATAAACACCAACTCCGGTGGGCTTAGGCCATCGGAACCTTCTAAAACCTTCTTCAAATACTCAGCATAAACCCTGCAATTCTCATCCATAACGTCCTCATACCCCCTCTCCAACTCCCTCAACTCCTTAGCCTGACCCCCACTCATCCTCGACAAAACACTCATCGCCTCAAACTTTCTAGAACCTGCTAGAACCTTCCCTCTTCGCTGTGAAAACCACTGAACCGCGGGCACAAGATAAGGAATGAACAAACTCTCAAACACTGGCAATGCAAGATCTTCTGACCGAGCAAATGCAGGGTCGAGGATGAAGATATCAAGAAGGGCAAGGGAAGCACTGACGTGGCGATTGAGGTTAGAATAGGTTAAGGAGAGAAGGAGAGAGGAGAGAGGAGAAGGGGTTGAGAGAGATAAGAGGAGTTTTTCAATGGAAGAGGAGTTTGATGATGAGGATTGAGTGAAGAGAGTTAAGGCTTGGAGGAGGGTTGGGTTGATCGGTGAGGGTAGTTTGAGCTTGGAAGAAGAGAGGAGTCGATGGAGATTGTCAGGTTGAGTTAGGATTTGATTGAGGAAGTTTGAGGTGTGTTTGACGATTGCTGATGGATTGATAGAAGCCATTGATGATTGACTGATGAAGGAGAAGAAGAAGAAGAAACTGTCTAGTATAGAAAGTGAAAGGTTTTTTGCGCAAGTTGAATTGTTCAAGAATGGAGTGAAGTAGATTGAATTTGTGTGGGAGGCGGCAAAGGCCGGCTGTAGATTTTAGCATTTCCACTTGTAACACAATAAACTAGTTGGATTAACATTCTTATATTGTCATTATATAATAGGTAAAATTGACAAAACCCTGAACTTTGAGGATTTTTGCAAAAAAACCCTCTAAATTTTGGCTAGTTATGCACAAAACCAAATTTTTAGGCTTTACTTTATCTAAGGGTTTAGTAAAATGTTGAAAGATAAAGGAGGTTTTCTATGATTAGTAAAGTTTAGGCGTGTTTTGTGAAATTTACCTTTTCTATGTCCAAATATTATTAGGGTATACATTAAAGCAAAACCAAATGACCTCAAACACGCTTGCCACATCAGCATTTTAGCCTGTCTAACTTTTTGACACTTGAACTTCTTAATCTGTCGCTTATTTTATTAGGTGTAAATCCAAACCATTAATCTGATATTAAATCAAGCAGATCTTTATTAAGGTGTAACTTTCAAATAAATTTAGGGATTTTATCTTATCATATGCGATTCTTATGCAAATGTGTACCTTTTTAATTTTTAGATACCAAATTTTATAGATTATTTAAAATTTTAAAAACCAAAGGGAAATGATATGTTTGGGACTTTTTTATTTTTTTAGTTAAAAATTTCTATGTAAAAGATCGTAGATATCTTAACAATTATTATTTATGTTTATACTCATGTCGGTTATATTAATCCTCTTGTATGTCTTCTCTTGGGTAATCTGAAAAACTCATCCATATTGTTCTCGATATCAGAGGTAACCTTGACATTTTATGTTTTTTATTTTTTAACTTATAGTTATTAATAAGAGTTGATATTATAGTCTTTTTGTCATTGTTAGATGCCAGGTTAAAGCAATTGGACTTCGTCTATATATATCTGGAAGCTCAAAAAGGTTTGTTTTTCATTTTATTTTTTTACTTGTTCAATGCATATTTAGTTAAATGTGAATATTTTTTGTTGATATGATCATCATATTATAATACAAATCTCATTTATTTATTTATGTATTTTACATTATTGATTATATTTTAATTCAAATTTATTTTTTATATTCAAGATATTAAACTTATCCTCCAAATAAAATAATATTCAACATTTTCTATTAATCTAAATATACATCTAATATATTACCTAATTCAAGATATATTTATTTCTAATTACTTGAAATATTTCTATGATATATTACCTTGTATTCAAGATCTACTCTATAATTATAATATCTATCATATTAGGAAGCATAAATTGGAATGTATGTCATGAAAGTTAATAATACATGATAAGATTCTTTATATTATTTGTTTATATTTTAAAAACTTCACTAAATAATAATAATATTTTACTAAATGCTTATCATTCTATATATAATTAAAAATATTATTAACTAATATATATGGAAAAATATTTCTTGTTGAAGATCAACCCTAGCTCATTACAAAGCCCAACCTATTTTTTATTTCAGCCCAAGGAAAATAAAACCCCAATCCATTTCATCTAAGCCCAAGACAAAGGAAGCTTCTTAACAAATGTGGAAGAAAGATATTTTTAAGAGAAAATTGTAGAAGGATATAGAAAGAAGATCTTTTAGGAGAAATGTGTAGAATGTGGTAATAATGTGTGGTTAGGATTGCATGGTGAGGACTATAAATACCCTCCGTTGCATTTGGGTTATGCATCCTCCATAAAAAAAAATAAGTCTTTGTATTCTTAGTTTGAGTGTGGTGTCTTGAGTGTGAGTTGTGAGCTTTCTTTTGAGTGTTTGTATTTCTTTGTATTCTTAGTTTGAGTGTGGTGTCTTGAGTGTGAGTTGTGAGCTTTCTTTTGAGTGTTTGTATTTCTCTTCAAATTGTGGTGTGGTGTCTTGAGTGTGAGTTGTGAGCTTTCTTTTGAGTGTTTGTATTTCTCTTCAAATTGTGAGTGTCTTTGAAAAGTGTTGTAGTGTCATTTATTGTGAGTATAATACAAGTGATTTGTTTACTTGTTTGGGTCCAATATTACTAAGTTTAGAGTTGTGTACTCTAAATTTTTCTCAACAATTGGTATCAGAGCCAGGTTGGTCAGAGATCGTTCTTGGTGGAGCTATCTTGAGTCGTGAAGAGTTTGGTACTCTGCAAGTTTGTTAGTCAAGCTTGTTCGGTATAATCGAAGTCTTGTCGGCACAATGGGTGACCTTCAAGTAGTTGGAGGAATCAAGAAGCTCAACAACAAACTACAACACGTGGGCAACATGTATGGAGTCTTACCTACAAGGTCAAGACCTTTGGGAGGTTGTCGGTGGTGGCAAAGTTACACAACCGGCGGTAGAAGATGCAAACAGAATCTTGTGGAAATGGAAATTAAAGCAGGCAAAGCGATGTTTGCTTTAAAGATCACAGTTGAAGAAGAAATGTTGGAGCACATTCGGCATGCTAAAACACCGAAGGAAGCATGATACACCTTTGTTACACTCTTTTCAAAGAAGAATGATACAAAACTACAACTTCTCGAGAATGAGTTGCTATTGATGGCACAACGTGACATGACGATTGTCCAGTATTTTCACAAGGTGAAGTCGATATGTCACAAAATTTCAGAATTAGATCCGAAAGCTCTGATTGGAGAAACCATGATAAAGAAAATAATTATCCATGGTTTGAGACCTGAATATCGAGGGTTTGTTGCTGCTGTACATGGATGGCCGACACAACCATCGCTTGTTGAGTTTGAAAATTTGCTTGCAGGTCAAGAAGCTATGGACAAGCAAATGGGAGGAGTCTTGCTGAAGGGTGAAGAGGAAGCGCTCTACACCAACAAAAGCAAAGTCAATTTCAAGCACCACACTGGTGGTGGATCTAAAAAGGATGGTGACAAAGTGAAAATTCACCAAGGAAAGGGAGGCTATCGTCCAGGGGGAGCTTCAAAGAATCGCGGTAATAGTATAAAGTTCGATAGTGAGTGTTATAACTGCCGGAAGATGAGCCACATGGAAAAAGATTGTTGGACCAAGAAAAAAGCATGTTGAAAGTAATACTGCTACTTCCAGTTCTAAGGAGAATAGCGAAGATGGTTAGGATGCCGAAGCATTATTTGCTATAGAAGAAGAAGAATTAGCTCTTAGAGTAACAACACCAGAACAAATTGACTACAAGAATGACTGGATCGTAGATTCTGGCTGCTCAAATCATATGATGGGTGATAAATAGAAGTTGTAAATCCTGTTTGAGTATAAGGGAGGTCGTGTAGTGGTGACTGCCGACAACTCAAGGTTACCGATAGCTCACATCGGTAAGACGTTAGTTACGCCTCGATATAATTCTAACTGTAAGCGTCAAAAAATACTGATAGATATCCAAACATAGAGAAGATCACCCAAAAGATCACAAGAATTGACTTCATGCTGTTTTAGTAAGATCAAAACAGTATGAACTGTCTCACCAGCGGGACAGTGTTCACTGCCTCGCAGTGAGACAGTGTTTACTGTCTCGCAGCGTTTACTATCTCGTGGCGAGACAGTGTTTACTATCTCGCATGCGAGACAGCTCTGAAATGATCAAAAGTTACTAAAATAACTGCCACACACGTGTCCATTAACTGTCAAAGAACGTGAGAAACATCGTGGGAGAGAATCACGTAAATAACTGCCAAAATAACGGAGTTTAAAACGTGGGAAGGCAGTTACAGTAGAAACTACCAGGCAGTTGGATTTTTCGAGACAGTCTTTACTGTCTCGGCATGTCTCGCAGCCAAGACAGCAAACACTGTTCTCGACCGCGAGAACAGTAAACATGTCTCGCCAGACTTAATTTCTTCAGTATGTTGGGTTTTCAGTTAGGTCCAGAGCCCCTATAAATACCCCCTAGGGTCAATACTGACGAGGACTCGAGCAGGATTGGAGCAGATCATGGCATAGAGAGCAGAGAGAAACAACAAAGACTTGAGTTTCCTCGTTGTGATTCCTTAAGAATTCGGCTTCGACTTGGATCTTAAGAAGAGTGATCGTCTTACTTTGATAAGCAGTATTCACTATTTCATTCTTTCTTCTAACTAAGGAAGGTACCACAAGACCTCACGAATCTTGAAGTCGTTCAAAACGAGCCAAACTACTCCCGACACCAGGCAAATCCCACAAAACAAGAATCGGCATAAACGACTTTTTGTGTTCGTTTATTTTTCTCGAAAGTTGATATTTCCAATTTTCATTACAATCATGTATAAACGAAAATTTAATGAGATCATCAACGAAATGACTTTCCGACGAAAACAAAACTGGCAACCCACAGTGGGAGCCAACGGTATCGTTAGCCGATAGATCGTGATCAATGAAGAGATCGAATATGAATTCGATCAAACAAAATTCGAGGAGTATCTGTCATCCTCATCCTCAAAATCTTCCTCGCCTCGCAAGTGTAGGAAGATTTCCTCTTCCAAGAATGTTTTCAAGTCTTTAATTCCGATGAAGACCGCAGGTGAAGGTTCTTGCCCAATCGTTGCTAAGGAATCTACCTGTAACATCTCTGCTCCAAATGACTCTGCACCAATTAAAGAGTCGTTGAATCATAGCCTACCGGTACCGACAAAAAGAGCTCGTCAGAGACAACGTCAGCGCCGTGCTCGTTAATTGGCTAAGACCTTACAACAAACCGATAGGGTCCATTACTATGCGGACCTAGAGTTGAGGAAGCATAAAGTGGTCCAGTTGCCTCAACGAGAAACTAATCATATTTCTGCACAGCTCACAACAGAAGAATGGACTCTCGTCAAGAGGGCTCGTTCGACCCTCAAAGAGCGTATACAAAAACGTCAGGCAAAGGCTGCTCGCGCTCGTGCCCTTCGTCAACAGATGTAAGAAGGGAAGAAAAAAATGGTGTCTGAAGAGCTACCAAAGAACCGTAAAGTTTAGATTC